ATTATATCTAGATCGTCGAAAAGTCAAATGATATAGCATCGTGGAATATATTTGACTCTGTGTTAATTAAAGAAATAATTATTGTCCGTAAAGATCGCAACGAAACGATAATTGGAAGCGTCTCGCACGACTACTTTCCTGCTCGCGTGTTGTCGTGTGAATGATAATAGAATCGAGGTATATAAATGATAGCGCGCCAATGTTTACGTCGCCAAGGCCGAATACCATGTTATTGATAATTTGCTGCCGAAATATTTTACGTACTATGACATATTATATATATATCATACAAAGTTATTAGTTAATTTGATATTATATATATATACACACACACACACACACACACACAAAATATTAAACTTTATACAAGTATATTTTTAATTAATTTTAAATATTTTAAAAGTAAATTTTTTCGCAATTCGGCTCTTTATTTAGAATTCAGGGTAGCGTCATACGAGATATAAAAGAAACTCTTAACATTTTTATGCTCCAATCAATATTGCAAGAGATATCACCGTTTTTCATATGAGATTTTGCGAAAACCTGACAGTTTAATTGATTTTGAAAAAACGGAGAATTAGAGTTAATATGTGTAATTATACACACACACACAAAATAAATGGCGCTTATATTGTTCTAATCCACTCTTAAGAAAGATATGTTAAATCGATACTCTAACTCTAATATATCAAAACTCTCTCGAAAATCTTAAAGTTTATTCTTGCTTCTTTTTCGTAATACCGATTGGTTCTTTCGCTGTGAATAACTGTCATTATATAATTTTATTTCTCTTAAAAAATTAAAATTTACTTTGATAAATATCCTTCATTTTGATATGCTTAAGGATTGTTAACAGTGAGAATTAATTTGTCGAACTCTTATTAATTTTTTTAAATTTTGTTATAAAAATAAATTTAAGTTTATTTCTTCTATAAATAATATTAATTTTAATTAGATAGATAGATATTTATTTATTCTTGCCTTTTAGTTTTGAAAGGGGGTTTTACAAAAACTTTACAGTGCTTACAATATAATATTAATTATATTTTTTCATAATTTCCATAAAAATAATTTTTAATTATGTAACGAGATAAAATAAACTAAAAAGTGTCTATATTTACAATCTTTGATGTGTGACACACAAGAAATCATTTTTTAAAAATTATTATTAAAATATTTGTATAAATGCCCGCTGACGTGGATGTTTATTCACATTATCTTGTGAGATTAAATCATTTTTTTATTAGCATACGGAAATATATAAATAGTCATAAGTTTGAAAGTTTAATCTTATGAAGGTAAGGCTATAGTATACGTTATGTTCCCTTGGTAAGTTCCACCATTCAGTATCGATTATGTAACGCACAATTGCCACTTGTTTGTGCTGCCGCCGTTTCATAGTTTCATTTACTTCATTTTTCTTTTTCAATTATCATAGGTATAAATTTATCGCTCTTCATTATCTTTTACAATTTTTTATTGTATGGAACATGAATTGAAGTATGTTTTTGCTAAATTGCATTATTTAATAAATTAATTAAAATTTTAATTAAATAAAATGGGACTCTATATTCTTGTATTGATATTATTTTAATATAAAGATAATTGCTTAGTTTGACAAATTTTTAATAACAATTATCACAATAATGATGTGCACGCGATATTATATTAAAAATGTCATAATAATTAAAAAGTTGAGGATTATCTTCACATAATTTTACATTTTGGTTTTTCAAGTGTTTGTATATAAATTCAGCTTATGCAAAATATATTTAATATTTAATGTTAATATTAAATAACAAAGTTATTTATTATATTTGCAATAATAATATGCTATAAATCAAATGAGGCATCAAAGATTGAAAATAAAACGTTTTGCAATATCATTGCTTTCTATGTAAATTTAGCGATATTAAAAAAAATTAATTAACAAATGTAGATAATATGTTAGAATTTTACATTTATATTAATAATATTTGACATCGATAATTGTGTGTATAGGACGTACTATTGATAAAAATATACATATGTTTGGCGAAAGAAAGGAATGGGAAGAAATTAAAGGGTTCGTGTGAAGGAACTGTCATCGTACACGGAAAAAAAAATGCTGTTGCTTCAATTAAAATCTACGTCACGGGCTGCTAAAAATTATTTACTAAAAATTGTAGCAAAATACTTATAGTTGGCCGAAATCTTTCTATAAAATATTTGTTTTTTTTTTTTTTTTTTTTTTTTTTTTTGATTTTTTTTTAGAAAATTCTTCGTATTTTAATTAAATCTTCCCTATATTTATACCTACAGTTCCAAGGTTTGTTTTATGAACGAAAATGATTACAAGCGCAGCGGGGAAGTATTCGATATTATTAGGGACGTCGAGAAGCACGAAAATATTTAAAAAATCGTCCGCTATATGAAATTTATCGCTATCGAAATCGATTTATCTCGCACGCGTTCGAATAATACCACAATCGCCCAATATTCATACGTACGCGGCGTACGCATTTTTTTTTTTTTTT